CACGTGTAAGTTTCAAAACTTAGTGTGGGAAGTGTGTTTTTACTACAACAAAAATAAAAACAAAACTAAGCTGGCTGCTTTTTCTTAGTGATTCAGAGTTCAAGGATGCATTTGCCTGCTACCCTTTCTCGATTACAGTACCCTGAGTCCATATAACAAAATTTATGCATGGTTTTCAGGAAGGAAGAAAAAAGTATGCTTATGTTGGAGGACCACCCCATCTTACCCCAGTCTGCAGACAGAGAGAAGGAAGAGCAGGGTAATTACCTGGCTTGCTACTGAAGCCAGAGCAGACCACAAGGGAGAGGAAGAGAGCAGGATTCACCCTTCCCCAGAAGCGCATTTTCATCTGTGTTTTTGTTGTATGATTGTAGTACTCAGATGCAATGTAGCATCCAGACCTACAGGATGTTATAAAAAGGGAATTATGTGTCCTTTGAGTGGGGAAACAGAGGCACACAATTGTCATAGCTAACCCAGGATTATCAAGCAGGATAGAGCCAGTACTAGAAAACAGATAGCCCATGTGCAAAGGTAACACACCCTTATGCTATGCTATGAATTACCTACATAGGCTTTTTTTTTCCCCCAAGCTTTCACACTTCCTTCACATCTTACCCACTTACATCAACATAACCCCAAATTGCCATCTCCTGTCTCCAGGCCCTGGGCTACACTTCCATCAGAACCCCCACAAATTTGCAGAACCAGAGCTGGAGTCAAAGCTACTTAAAAGCATTCTGACCCACCACTAAGCCAAAGACTATGCCTTAGCACGGTTATATAGACTCAGGCAACCACTGTTTCTGTTCACTACAGCTCTCGGGTGCTTTCAGAGGAAAGAATTTCCACTGCAAGTCTCACAACAGAATTAGTTGCAGGAAACATTTCCAGTCAAACTCAGGTCTTTGTACTCCACACATTCTCTGCCAATGGGTGACAGTGGTGGTTGCAGCCTAAATGAAGAAACATTTTCAGGTTCAAAAAACTGAAAACTCATTAAACTTTGGTACAATTACTTCTTCGGATCACACAGATGGCAGAGAAACACGTCATTGGGCAAACGACTGCTAAGGTACTTCACTGAACAACTGGCAGTTATGACAGTGCGTGCCACAGCATGCCACGGTCCTTTTGCAACGGTCCTGGCACACAGGGCACCGTGCAAGACCCAACCTCCTGCACTGGCTCCAGCAGAAAAAAGCCCCAGTGGTGGTGAAGAACAGACCTTGCTCACTTGGGCTCTTATTTTTCAAAGATACACTTTCAGACCTCAGCATAAGGACATGCCCAGTGCCCAACTGCAGTCTGCAGTACACTGGATTTCACTACTGTAACTGAGAAAGCCAGACAACTTAGGTAAGTTAAACCAAGGCTGCACTTGCCTTGTGGAACCACAGAGGATCAGGACAGCACAGAGGCAGCTCAAACCTATGAGACCTGCTCAGCTCTGACTTTGCAAATATTGTCACTGTTCTGAAGAGATTATAGGCTAAATTTAGATGTGATATGATAAACTCAAATAATGAACACCCCAGTCAACCAACATGGCAGAGAACAAAAGGTATAAGCAGATCTGTTGAAGCATGAGCTCCAAGAACTGTGGTTCCACAGGCATCAACTCACTTGTGATTAGCACAGTGAGGCATGAGGCATTCAGGAGATTTAAGTTTTAGTTATACCTTAAAAGGTAATAAAACATTTGTTACGCTCACCTTTATTTATCTGATTTAAATAAGACTCTACAGAAATATTGGCATTTCTGAAGTGTTCACCGATATGTGCTGATATTGTGCCTTTATTTGAAAGAAAAAAAGCCCATTAAAATTCTTTTAAGTCACTTGCCGTCATTTGCTTCAAAAAATGAATAATCAAAACACAAAGAGTAAAAGGAGTTTTTGTCTCGAAAGCAGAAAGGGAAGTATTTTTCAAACCTAAGAATGCACAATAGAGCCTGGCCATGAGCCTACTGGCATCTGTGTCTTGATCCGAATGAACTTTAAGATGTCTGTTCTCCCAGAGGACTTGTACCGTTTAAAAAATAAATAAATAAAAAACCCACAAGTGCTTTTAATCTACCTGAAATACGGGATACAGACACAGCGTATTTTGTACTTGTTTTATACTAGCCATGTTCCTTTTAGCCTGCTGCAACATTATTGGGATATTTCTGTTCCTATATCACAGTATATAACTAACATTTCCCAGAGAACCCAAGAAGGGCCATGTAAAGCCATCTGCTTTTAAGTTAGAAATTAATTCTTCTTACAGATACAGGGTACATAACAGCTCACACTGTCACTCCAACAAATTATGCTGCTGTTTATTTAAGTAATAAAGGAATTTGTTCCAAACAGTTGGGGTTTTTTTCCAGCATTTGTTCTCCACATGCAGTTTGCTTCCTCAAGTGTTGATTTTTCATAGTTAAGAGGCTTTTTCCTGCCTTTTATCCACCAGGCTAATTGCATTCTTATTCTTGTCTGTTTAACAAGAGCTGACATCCAGCTTAGTGCTCTGTAAAACAGGAAGCGATGTATTTCCTGTTCCAAGGAGGTAACAGTTTAAACTGACCTCAGATGAATTGGACATATGGGAAATGGACAAATCCAGCCTTGTGATTATTTAATTTTTTTTCTATTGAGACAGAAGACATAGTCAAGTCCCTTGCATCCTGCAATGATCTATTACCCAAAAGAATAGCTTCTTAACCCAGCTGCCACAAACCATGCTCAGCTGTTCACAAGCTTCTCACCTGAGCAAACTAATCCCTCTCTCCTGTTTACCAAAGCACTCCCAGCTTACCTTGTACCAGGACTCACTTTACACAACTAAAGCCACAGTGAGCCACCTGTCAGATTCTCCATTCCCCTTTAACACTTGCAGTTATGAACACCTGTACTAGGTAATCTGTCACATACCCCCATGAAGCTATTGAATATACAGTATACAGCTGCACTGCCTTTACCCTAAATTATCTCATCTGCCCATGGGTGTGCCCTCATTTATCCACAGAAAGCTTTCTTGCAAATATCCCAAAATCAGAATTTCGTAAAAAGTTCCAAGTTGTTATCCTGATCAACATAGGAACTGAGATTATTCCTTCAAGTATCACATTTTCCTAAGGAGCCATGTTCTGACCTTCAGCTTTTCTTCTAATTAATTAGAAGAAAAGCAGCAATCACTTTTGAAAACACATATGGTATAAAGTATGTAAGTGTAATGTACTGCATTGTACATTAAATTAATATCTGAAAGAAGTACATGCATTTTACAAAAGTAAAGATAAAATACACCTGACAGCATCTCTGGCTGTCAAAGTATTAACACGTTTATCAGCGCTGGTAAAAAATATCCCAATAGCCACAAAGGGGATTCACCAGAGTCTATGAAGGAAGAACAACCCTCCCAAGCACTTTAATACTAAAGCTGAAATTTCCTCTCATATGAACTGGAAGTCTGAGAACACTAAGCCCTCTGCCTAGAGGATTAGGATTATTTTTTTTTCTTCTTTACAGAAGGCCTTTTTTTCTAATTCTGCCCTCAAGGAATCAAGTTAACGTAACAGAATTGCAGTAACACATAAACTTTGTAAGAAAGGCTGATCTAAAGTTACAGAGTATTTTAGCTGGAGAAGAGGTACTTAATGCTGTTTGGTCAAAAGAACATTATGGAGCAAGAAAGAAAACTTTTGTAAAGAGATTTCTAAAATGGTCCAAACTTAGGCAATGCTTTATTTTAGTTATGCAAAAAATAAGCAACAGAACTTAAAGATAATGTCAAAATCTGCTGTATCACAGAGCTTTGCCTACTTCCTTATCATGATGAGCAGGACAAATTATTTCTGTCCACGACAGAATTTATTTATTCAATGTTATCAGATTCCAAGGCTGTAGAATGTAAGTGAAGGATCTGGGATTTTTAGAAAAGACCTCCCCCCACACCTCACTCCCAGATAAATTAGAAACAGTATTTTATCACATTTTAAAAATACTCAGCAAGTTATGACACAAAGAAGGTGCTGAAAGTGAAGAAGCAACACAAGACAGATGTCTAAATAAGACATTAACTGGTAGATGGGGTAAATATACAACTTTGTCCTTTACTCCATCTTCTTAAATATTGCAGAAGAAATACAAAATTGACTAGTTCTCTTACTTCCAAGCAGAGAAAGCAGGCTGTGCTAACCTCTGCACTACTCCCTCTAGCTACAATCAAACTAAGTGAACTAAACATCTACATTTAATCCTGGATTATTCTGTTACAATGACATCACATCTGCAAGTGCCCAAACCTGGAAGTCCTGGGCCTGCACAAACCTAGAGATTTCTCTCAAGGCCACAGTCTCAGACTCAACATTCTTTCTCTTGGTAGCAAAAAACTTCAAAAGTTAATTTTGCACTGTTTTGGTGGGGGTTTTTTGGTTTTTGTTTTGTTTGGTTGTTTTGTTTTTGGTTTTTTTTTTTTTTTTTTTAATATTCCTGTGCAAATTTTTCCCTGCCTTAAAAAACAATCTCAACCTGTAGGTGAACACACCCCACTTAAACTTTTATTGGTATGGATTACTATGATCTATGTTAACTTGCTTATACTTCAAAATTCACTTGGTTCTTTAATTAAACAGTGGCCAAAAATATGTTATGTCTGTGCTGAAAATTCTTGGAAAAAGCATGTTCTTAGCTTGCATAACAGACATCTACTCAAAGATCTTCCGGTAGTGTCAGTGATTCAAAAGGAGGACAAAGCTTGAAAATGAAAGGCTGTACATGCAACTCTGTGCAGATGAACAAATTGCTTTCAGTACAGAATTACTGCTGCAATCCTATAATTCCCCTTTACTTTAACCCACAAGCCAAATGGTAGGAATTGAGGAAAAAGCAGTGGATACATTAGCAAATACTGTTTTGTGTAGAGCTAACACTGCTTTCATTTGAGAGATATGGCTCCTATCTACTACAATCCTTCGGGTAAGTCAATAACCAAGTACACAAGAGGAAACCTGATTCATATGACCAGATTGTATTTTAAGAAGTTTACAGTAGGGCAAATCCGTATCTGTTGTACTTAACACCAAACTAATGCCTTGGAAAAGATGATGAACAGTGGGGTGATAAAAGTTGATTCATCCAGATATTAAAACCCAGGGCTGAGCACAAAAGCTGCAAGGCAGGTCTGAACACTGAATGCCTGGACAGTAAAACAGTTGACATTTCAATATAAAGTGATGCATATGGAACAATAATTTTAAAAAGTTTCAGCTTCACAGTACAGAAATAAGCATAAAAGAATTAATATGAAAGAAATGGATCTCTTAAATCAGAGGGCTCAAGAGAACATCAGCTCAAAACTAGTAGTCAGAAGAACGCCTGGGGAAAGAAAAATAAAAGCAGAAAATGCTCTTGTATCTTGAAAGCTTTTAACAGGACAATCAGAATGCAGCATACAAGGAGGATACGTGGATGGCTGAGACATTACAAGGGTCTCCCCATGTGACACAATTAAATAGAATGTCCTCTTCTTTAAGCTGCGAAGCCTGAAGGTATTAGGGCAAGATTATAAACACCAGGAGTTCTTTGAAGCTGTTCACCATTTCTTACTGGAAGAAACAAACAAACAACAGAAAACAACAACCACCCCCCCAACCAACAAAAAAAGCAAGTAAGAGATATAAAACTGCAATGTATAAAATAAAAAGGAATAAATTTAATTCCACATGTTGTCTAGGTAAGCTACTGAAATTCTTGACCCAGGCTAAAAAAAGCTGTCAAGGATTCAAAAAGGGACTGGACAAAGTCACGAAAGACTATCCACCAAGAACTTCAGATACAGGCATACCACTTCCGGCTCAAATTTGTGATGTGGAAAAAAAAAAAAAAAAAAAAATCAAAATCACTGGCAGCTAGGGAAGTATTCTGGCTAAATAGATGTTTGGGCCATCTTAATATTCCTTCCAAGGTATCAACGATCAGAAAACAGAGTGGGCTAGATTGATTTTTGGTCTGAGTCAGTACAGCCGCATTCTTACTGCTCAGCAATCTTAACCATTCACACTAGAAAAGCAGAATGACTGGCTTGAATTAGCTCATTTTCATTATGACTTTAGTTAAACCAGGGAAGTGAAAGTTTATGCATAAATTCCTCAGTCACAGCCCACATATGTGAGGATGTGACACGTATATACTGGACTGATAGGTAGTTTATGGAGTATCTACTGACAATGCCTGAGAGGAAAAAATGGATGATTGCAAGCACCCTTCATGACAGCCTGTATAAAATAGTCAATTCAGTGCATTAACATGAAATCCATATTTACATATCTGAGGAAGAAACACACAGGAGAACAGGAAAAGTATATTTAATTTTCTATTAAACTCCCAACCAGAACACATTTTCCCAAAACAGAATTGAAAACTTTTTTACATTACTATTAAGAATTTCAGAGATCAACACCAGATTTTCTCAGGAGAAATCAGGTAAAATGGTGGTTATATTCCTTCTCTGCTCTCCCAACAAACCTAATCTTTTTTCAAGGTGAAGCATTAGCAAATCCTGTGAATCTCACAGCAACATTTTAGTTCTTTCTTACTTCTGGGTATTTTATTTTTTAATTCCAAAGTAGTAATAAGAAAAGTATCTTATAGCAAATTCCCAAAAAGCCTATTCTAAAAAAATGTTGTTAAACATCCCCTTTATAAGACCATTTTAATTGAAGCAGTAGTAAATTTGTTAGAATGGAAATCTGAAAGCATGTGTATGACCTGCTATTACAGCTTTAAAAAAATGCAACTCATTTACCTGATACGTCAAACAATGTAACCTTCCTCACTCTCTTCCCAACTAACTTGAACAACAGTAAGCAGCCTCATTCAACTCTACATTTTATAAAAATTTTCATACTGATTAAAACAAAAATTGTCACAAATACCCACCATATACCATTTGTAAGAGTTAGTGCCTCAAGCTTAACCTAAAAATCTTAGCTATAGAGAAACTGATGGAATTTATTAAGAGAATTAATTTACGTGAGATAGGTCAAATCAAACCCAGTCTGCACCATATTATTGATAATGTTTAGTTTCATTCTACTTTTTTGTCAAGAATATAAAGTACTGTTTACTCTAATGAGCTCAAAGTTTAGCTTTGCCTGGCTGAAGCTGTAGATTCTGAAGTTTCATTGCCATGCCCATGTTCCCAGATATTTTCAATTTGCCTTGAAAGAATGCCTAGAAAAAAAGAAAGACTATATGAAATGCAATACAACATATCACCCCAAATGCACCCCTCCCAAAAGTTATCGGCTATTATGTATGTGCAGGTCCTGGCCTGCAGTTTTGTAATTCCAACAGTTCTAGCAAACACCTTACATTCATCAACAAATATATTTTCTGACACTAGAATGTAGAATAGTAAACTGAGGAAGTTGTATGCTTATCATATTTGTGATACCTAAAGAGAATAAAGTTGGTATTGCTTGTTTCTTGGACTATCATAACAATAGATCTATATACAAAGCAGGGCAGAATACCTAATGTTTTGGTGATGACAGTTCATAGACTAAAAGTTCACTATTTCAACTGAAGAAGATAAAGCAACAGTGCATAGTAGATGCCACAACTGATTTCTTACTCAAATCCAACCCCCCAGCCATTCCTGGGTTTATTACTGATTAATTCAACTTTACAAATCTAGTTTGTGAAGCAGACATGATAAAGATTTGGTTTTTCTCCCTCCAGACCTTATAAATAAAATGAACTGCATGCACTAAAGTATCTAAATTGTAGATGTAAAATTGCAGTTGCTTCTGAATTTCCTACATGTACGTTACGACATTTGTATAATGTGTTTTACCTTCAAGCTTCTCCTAGATGCACTTTAGCTTGTGAAAATTTTTATTTACCCTGTGATTACCAGACCAAAAATTTAAAAAGAATGTTACCCAGAGCATTTCGAATTTGGAAGTACAGAACAGCAACCTGAAATTAATTTAAACATCCACTTTTCTTGTACACTATGGCTGCATTAGACACACTGAGGAATACAAAACCCCAAATAATCACTTTCACTCAGTAAATGCTCACCTCAATTTCTATTTTTCTGCATCAAGATTACTCCTTAGACTAATGCCAGCTAGAAGCGTAAAGCCCTCCAAACAGAGGGCCAACATTCTTCCTTTAAGTCATGCTGCAAACAGTAGTGTCCCCCTCTTCTCTGCAAACCAAGCACTATTATATACCCTCTTCTGGATTACCTACAGGATGTCTGAAATAATATGTACCTGTTGGGAAGAGTAGATCATGTCTTTCCTGATTAATCTTACTTTGGTAAATTTGTTCAGAGAAAGTCAACAACTGTCATTTTTCAGATCAGCCATAGCAGTTTTGGAGGAGGGGATTTACTTAAGTTATTTCAACTTAAACACACTCAAAACAAGCGAACAAGTCAGTTCTCTTACTTCATCTTTGCTATACTTACTGTCTGAGGATTCATTTTGCCAGTCATGAGAGCTAACAGATCAGTGTCAGCCATTGTAATCGTACAATCTGCCTTCTTATCTGTAAGACAGAGTTGGCTATGAAGAGTCAAACTGAGAGATGAACAGTAATAGAAGCTGCAACTCTATGAATAATCTGTTGATACTACAGGTTAGCAAAATGGTATCTGAAGTACATATAAATAAGGGCCATTACAAAAATATCAGCAAGAGATTACCCAATATCCAACAGGCATCTGTGCCACCTTGTAGCACAGACCATCCCAGCACTGAAGAAAGACGGACCTTTCTGAAAGGTGCTAAGCGAATTAATTCCTTGAAAATAAATAATAATTTACTTGTAATCAGACAGAATGTTAATTGCCGTCATTCACAATCATCTTAAGTTTTATCAGGTTTAAATTTGCTAGTATTAAAATCAACTCAGAATAAATGTGCTTTCCGCTGTGACAAACTCTGAAGATATTCATCACAGTAATCTCAGGCATTTCCTGCCCTCTCCTTCAATGGGAACAACATGTGCATTCTAAAAGCACTCATTTGAATTAATTCAAATCCAGAGGTTTTTAGGACCTTCTTACCAGAAATAAACTGAAAAATTATTTTACTAAGTTCTGATAGAAATATTAACATATATACCAAAGGGCTAAAGACTGCACACATCTACACTCATCTGATTATTAAGTCTTTGATAAAATATTGTCCATACAACAGAAAAGAGTCCTTTTCTTTTGTAATAACTTAGATCAATGAATTCCAAATTAAATCCTATGTCATGTTTTTAATTAAAAGTTTTATGATACAAGCTCATGGATATATGAGATTCTGAGGACAGACTGCTGTCTCTGGCTTTTTATTTACATTACTAGGATGCATGACTTCAGATATGACACAAGACATTTTCATGGCAAGGGTACAAATCCTTTGTTTCCAATACTTTTATGGGGTTCCCCTCCACCACCCAGTCTGTGTCTTATTTATGTCTGTGTTTTTTTAAAATGGAACTTGAAGCTCATGTCAGCTGGTACGGTATTGAAATCAGTCAAGTTCTATTGCTTAAGTAGCTGCAGAGGAGTTACTTGACGAGACAGACCAGCTTACGGCCTACCAGTGTCTCCAACAAAGCAACTGAAGAAACAGCTACAAACTACATCTCTGGCCTAAATTTTAAGAGGCGGAAACAACCAAACCCCTGAGGTTTGATCATCTTTTTTTTTTTTTTTTTTTTTTTTTTTTTAAACTGATTCCTGTGAAAGTCATATGACAGGTCTGTCTGGAGCCTCTAAGAAAACACGCAATGATCTAGACAGAATTCAGAGTACAAGACATTTAATTCTTGGTCTGAAACATCATGGATTAAGTGTCAGTAGTAAGCAAATTTTAAAACCAAGGTAGCCCGACACCACTTTTGCCCAAGGTCACTATAGCTAAAACAGAGTATGTATTTATATTCTTTTAATTAGTTTTATGTATTTCCTGCAATGAGATAATAAAATAGCACTGACCTGAATTAACTGCCACAGACCCTTTACCATTTTTCACATCTACTATCCAAGTTGCTTCTTTCCCATCAGGACCATCTTTTATTTTGAAGGCAAAGACTCCACCAATTTTCTTGACAAATTGCTCTCCTTCCTGTAATGACCATGTAATGTGCAAAATATTAATTTACTTTAAAATAATTTTAAAATAGTTTGAATGAAACAGAAAGTAATTTCAAAACCTTTATTGTATCTACTAACACAGAAATATCTATTTACCTCTATTAGGCATCATTTAAATAACTATTTAAAAAAAAACAGCAAAAACCCCACCAAAACCCCAAACTATGACTATCTATATTAAAATCTATCAGCTGAGAAAAATGACCACTGTCCTAAAAATCTCATCTTGATGTACATCTGACAAAATGTGATTTCTTCTTCTAATCATACTTATAAAGCAAGCAACAAACACCAAACACAAAGTTTCTTGTGTCAATTAGCAAGCTCCTCACTTATAACCTAAACTTGATTTTACTGAAATACCCTTACACGGGTAGGAACTGTCTGAAAAAAAAAAAAAAAACTTAAAATCATGGCACAGTGTAGAAATCTTTCTAACACAGTGAAATTCAAAGCTGTAACATTTGTTTCAATGAGCAGTACCGAGGAAGTGATTGGTGCTTCTATATTCCTGTTGGTTTCACACATGTTCTGTCATAAACTGAAATCCTATAAGTAAAAGAAGTAGTCAAATACCTCTTGGAGCTTCTTTTCAATCTCTTTGAAGACCAAATGTGACTTAAATCCATCAACAGCTGCGCTGAGAGGCACAGCTGCAATACGGCCAGTGCTGCAATGAAAAACCCATTCATTTACATATCTTTAATCACATTTTCAGCACCTTCAAATTATCACTAATAGGCCCAACACCAGTGAGAAGAGCCACATTGAAACACTTCAGCATTATCTTCAAGGCCAGACAGGACAGGTCTGGTGGAAGGTGTCCCTGCCCATGGCAGGGGGTTGGAACTAGATGATCTTTAAGGTCCCTTCCAACCCAAACCATTCTATGAGTATAGAGAGACTATATCATATCAAAGTGAATCTTACTCTCTGATGGTCTTGACATCTTGAATTACAAGTACTTCAAGTATCTAGATGTTTTTGCATGTATGGACAGGGCACTAATTTTATAATGAAAATAAATTATTAAACTTGTTAAGATAAATCAGCAAACACTACTGCCACACCTTGTGTGAAGAGAATGCCGCACATGGACCATCTCAGATAAATGACTTTTTTTTTTCCTTTTTTGCAAAACAAATCCCCTTTTTCCTCCCAATTCATGTGGGTCTCTGGACTGTCACAAGAGGTATTAAGTATTACTCCTGATTCTCTGGAACAGTCATCCTGCATGGCCAGATAGCAGCATGAAACCTAATGCTTCATTTCTGCAGAAGCACCCAGAGCTGAAATAAGTATAGAGATGTCCAAAGAAACGGCAATCCAAACAGCAGGAAAAACAAGCTTACAATTATTACCATCTCTTGGCAGCAGAGTATCAAACCTGACAACAGTTCTGAATTGTTAAACTGACAGAATTGCTTAAGAAATGTTTCTGGAACTTATTTGTATGGTACTAACACTACCTTACAGATGTATGCTAGGGTAGCAATAGTAGGGACCGTCTCACTTGAAGAAGACACATCAATTTTGCTAATGAACTAAGGCTGTACGAACAGGATGTGAAATTGCAAGGTGTCAAAAAAAAAGCAGAACTGTTTCAAAGACTAATCCAAAACGGTTAAAGTCCTGCTGTCCTTTACCTTGATGTGCATTTTTGGCAGCTATTACTAAAGCCACTAATTACAGACTAGATCCGAATCCAGAATCCAGTGATTAAGACTATGTCCATTGCTGAAGAAAAAATGGTATGAAGTTTCTTCATAAACATGAAATGCCTCCACCTTTCCCTTAATTGCACAATACACAACATCATTCAGTTACATAAGCAGTATCTGAACAGATTAGCCACACTGTTTCATTCCGAAGTCTGATATACATTAGTGCAACTCCTTGTGTCCAGTATCTCCTACACATAAAGCCTTTGGGAGAACTAAAAGTTTTTAAGCTTCTCTAATGTAAGATGAAACTATTGCCAAGATTCCTCTGTTCTGAGTTGTACTTAATAAAAAATTTTTAATACCAATGAAGGTGAAGTGAGCTGTTAGTAAATTAGACTTAATTTCTTCAGAAGAAATATTATCTATTCATGTAAAGCTTTTCCTGACAGGAAGGCACTACTACTAGCAGTACCTCAAGGTTAACGGTGTACAAATAGCAACAGATTCCCTGTTTCATAAAATTACATTTTTAAAGACAAAGATCAAAGCAATAAAAAACACTGTATTCCATATAACAGTCTTCCCCGCAGATTTAAAACTGTGTACCAACACCCACTGCCAAGTTTTGAGAGCATGTCTGAAGAGAATCTATGGGAAGATGTGTCTTTTCCTGGATCATACCTATTTTCCCATATGGTCTAACCTCTTACAGATTACAGTAGTGATAGGATTATCACTTCTGACACTGCACTATAAAAAGCTACTGCTTCAAAGTTCAATTGCCTCTCTCATTACCTCTTCCACAGATTACATATATTGTCACCTCCCTGGAACTGTACAGGTCTAGCTAAACCAGACATTAGAAATAGGACATGGAAGGGGAGTATTTCTTTCTGTAAGTCCAGCACATGACAAATTTTACTGTTCCATAGGTTTTTAGAGCAAATATGAAGTATTGGCGTTGAGCTTTAAAACCAAAACCATAATATCCACAAAGAGTAGCTCAATCCTTCTAAGCAAGGGTGATAGAAAAATGTAAATTGAACGGTGTATTAAAAACAGTCTCTCCTGAAATCCTGTTATGTTTACAAATTTTAAGTATTTTCTCTCAATTCCTGTCCATCCTAGCATAAAACTATAGCAGACTGCAAATCAGTTTCATAGCAGGGTTCTCCTCTCACTCTGAAGGATGCTACAACTGCAAGTGCAAATTCTTTAGCCAGGACTGGACGGGTAACATGCTGGAATTCTAACAAGTACTTAAAATATCCCATGTAACATACACAGCTGAAAGCAATTTTTCATGAAACCAAACTGGTAACAATTTTGGCAGTGAAAGCAGTGGGTACCTCTATTCCCATGGATATCTTGATTTTTTCGGCAACTCTCTAGTTTAAATTAATGTCTTTTAATGTGGCTTATTTTGTTCTTGGAAGAGTCTGCATTTGTTTTGCTGGCTTTTTTTTTTCCTCCCAGCATTAAACTCTTCCTTACAGGAAACCATGTGAGCCATTTTTATGAGCCAGTCTGCTCTTTTCAGTAACTTGTAACTCACAGTACATACTGCTCATCAGGACTACAACACTGTCTAAATTATAATCTCTGTATACACCTGTGGTGCTGTAGGAACAAAACAGTCCCAACTGCTGAGCGAGTTTCAGTTTACAGAGGAATTTCTTCCTTGCAGAGAGGTGAACAGTAATTCTATAAAAAAGTAAATTTTGAACCACAAAGATTAGGGAGCACTGTCAACACAAAGTGAGCCTCGTTTACACCACAACTGAACCCACGGTGAAAGTTTCCAGTGACAGCATAACCAAGACCTATACACGAGTGCTGAACACCCTGCAGTGTGCATTTTCTTGCTCTGTGCTCTATACAGTCTGAACAGTGACTATTTTGTAAGGGTTTTCATTACACACGGTGCTTTTTTAACCCCCTAAGTCAGCTCCAGTCTGAGGGCAGACCCTCAGCTGCCCCACCACTGCTTCTCCCTGGGCGTTGCGCGGTGGGATCGGACCGTCTCGCCATGCCTAAGCGCCGTGGGCAGCCGCAGCCCGCGGGTTCTCACCTGGCAGCTCCGGGGAAGCCCATGGCGTAGAGGGTCACCACCACGGCCCCGCCGAGGCCCAGGTTATGCTGCAGCGCGACCTTTGCCCCCGGGACCTGCCGCCCGCCCGCCAGGCCGCGCAGCTGCCAGCAGAGCTCGGCGCACTGAGCCAGGCCTGAAAAATCGAGCGCAGAACGGAGCTGGTTAAACGAAGCGTATTTCCTGGTAAGATATGATGTGAATACGTGCGATAGGATTTGAGAAAGCAAATTCTGTACAGCTCAGATATTTAGCAATATATTTTCTGGGAGGCCCAAAACTAAAGCGAATCCCATTCCATTATAGCCCTGATTTTCAGATTACAGTTACCCTTGGCCTCCCCCTACTATTCCATCAGCTATTGCTGCAATGATGATCCAGTTCCACTGCACACACATTTTTTTCTTCCCTCCATCATCCACAGACCTCCATGCCTTCCTCTTCCTTCCCCTAGACAACTCTGTAGGCCTTTGGGCAAGGCAGAGGAAGAATCTGCATTTTATGCACCAAATTTTACTCATTGCCAACCAAAACATTATGAAGAGGACGAGTAGGAAGCTTTATAATTCTAGTCACAGATGAGAATTAACAGGTTTCATTTACATTCTCTCAGCCTCAAGGAGAGAATGTGCACAGTGGTACAGCCTGCCCAGGAATGGTTTGGAAGTTTAAAATGACTTGTATGATGTCTGATTAGCATATAGCTAGCCTCAAGACTGTTTTGTAGTGAAATTAAGATGACAGTCTCTGGACATGTAATTTTCTGCATTTTAATGACTCTCCCCCCCCATCCCATTGCAACAGACAGAGGCATGACTACCAGTAATTGCCTCTACATTTTTTTTATCACTGGGTAACTGACAAAAATTTAACATAAACCTAGCAATGTAATGCTCTCATCCTGTTACAGTGCTTCCCCCTATACTAACTGCAGTTATCCAGCTGTTACAGCTGTTTAGATTAAGGTTTGTTGTTTTACAAGGTTTCCTCTTCTCCAGTTTTCTGACAACTTGTCATTTCCAGACAAGGAAGGTGAATTACCTTCACAAATCCAAACGCATTTTATCCAAGAGCCATCTCATTTGGAAGCAAGCGTAGCAATTTAAAGAAAACAAAATCAAAACAAAAAAAAGGAAAATCTGTGTTGCTGGGAAACGGTGACTGAACTTCTGTTATAAACATCAGATAAATATTTTGACATCCACAGCTCAGAAATAGCTTTTATTACAGCTAATCAGGCTACAGGCTATTCACACGCAGTAAAAATCTCCAAAATCTGAATTTTAAAGGGTGACGACATATGAAAGTAGTTACTCAAACTACATTCAGCAGAAGTTGTACTACTGAGCAATTATTTAGAAAAAAGTTAAGCTGCTTTGCAGGTTGCTTTAATAACAACAGAAAAAAAGCACCACAAAATTGAAGAAAATTTAATTCACACTCCAAGTCTTTTGGTTTGAGCAATCCTACATGGTCAACCTCTCTAATGCTTGCATCAGTTGAAAATGAGGATCAACTCCAGAGCTTCCTTCTAGCTATATGAAGCCCTCACGTTTCATACAGACAAATACAAGTGGGAAGCATGTGCCTGCTCAAGAGCTGCATCTCATATCTAACTGGCATGACAACATGAAATGTTTTGGCATACCTGTAGCACCAAGTGGATGTCCCTTTGAAATCAAGCCACCACTAGGATTAACAACCCATTTTCCTCCGTAAGTATTGTCTCCTCTGTCAATCAGGTCACATGCTTTGCCTATAAAACAGTATTTATAAAAGAAAATTTTTTTTTATGTTTTTAAGTGATTTTTCAATTCTACTGTTACTTATGAAGATTTTGCATGTCAGTCAAAATGTAGGAAATACTACACCACAGATTTTACAAGGAGCACACTAAGATTAGCCAAACTACATTAACGAGACTTGCTTATACCACTGGAGAAAGTAAAGTGGAAAAGCAGTAAAAGGGCTAGTGCTTGACACAAAAGCTTTTAAAATTTGCTGTTGAACTGTTTTGTTGATATATAGTATTATGATATAATCAATACAATGAAGCTATTATTTTATTAATGAAACTGCAGTAATAACTATGTTTTTTGTAAAAGAGGGATTAGTCATAATTTGTGACCCCCAGGAGATGGATGTCCTAGTGAACATCAAGCTGAACACGAGCCCTTGCCACAAGGAAAGCTAACAGCACCCTGGGCTGCATTAAGATAGTAAAAAAAACCACTCCCAAGACTAATGCTTAGAATTGCTTAGCTTTCCAGACTATTAGTTCCCATGCCTTCAGCAGACAGTTCTCCCTTTTAACCAGTCTCTTCTTTATTCTTGTACCAGCTTCTTCAGCCTCCATTATTAACGTTGAAGTCTAAAATAAGATCTGCCACATCTCCCATATTTATAACTTACTTCTGTCATTAAATGAGAATACCAGATTAGTCTTGCACACCTAAATCTACAATGTGGTTTAGCCATTTCACTAATCTCTATAGCTAATTAGTCTGCCATTCCAAACTAAGTTTCACTTACTATTAAGGTCAGACTGACTGAAAGGTGGTGAGAGTTGCACTATTAAATTACCATACACAAGACTTATTGGTCAAATAGGAAAGTACCATCAGGATTCTTCTGTATCTTGATTAAAGGAATGAAACTAAAAACCTTAACGTACCTATTTAAATAATGTCAAATGTTTAGCATTCTTATGGCAGATTCCATAAAAACACAGCAAAAAAGACAGTAAAAACCAAGCATTCAAAGGCAAATCTAAAAAAATCTTCCTGAAGTTCTATGAATATCTCTGTTTCAGTGAGAAAGCTTAGACTTAATACACCATCTAGTGACAGAGTTTGGTATTTACCCCAAATTAGTGGAAAACACAAAGATTACATCAGATGATTATTTATTCAAAGCAAGAATACATTTAGAGTTTCAACATATCAAATACTGAAGTAGCAGTTCAATGAATTATTTATTTGAAATCAAACAAAATCCTCTTCAGTAGAAGATTTTGATGGTTTGACTTGCATACATAGAACTGAACTTCACTGACATTTAACCTCTTGTAAATCCACTCATTTCAATGAAATCAAACTAATGCAGACAGATTGTGCACTCTTATACAGTTGACCTTAGAGGCACGTTCACAACTTGCCAACAACTCTGTATTTTCAAAGGCAAAGATGTTTCAAGATTTAAAAAAAAAGTCATAGCAAAGATAAGTAACCTGGTAATGCCCTCCATTGACAATTCTTGTCTGATTTTTAGCTTCTTAAAAGGAAATACAAAGATGGAAGGAAAACTTGGGGTAGGTAAGCATACAGCCCTGAAAAAGAACATAATACTAAGAAAGACGACAGAGTCCTTGATTTCCTTGCTCTACTTGCTTAAAAGTGCTATCCCTGCACAAGCTAGCCGTATGATTTCACATAGTTGTCCAACACTTGAATTTCCTTTGTGCATTTCTTCACAGTAAGACGCTCATCTGTCAATTAATTCTAGAGTTTGCAGGTCTTCCTTATGTTACTACAGTGGTAACTTGTTTTTCCTCTCTTACGAGGTTAGCTAATACAACTTTCAAATAGAAAAGACCTGTCCAGTAGACAGCTCAAAGTTTTAATTATATGAATAGATAAAAAGGTATTTTTAATATTTTATTAAAACAGTGATCTCCACTGATGCTATTACCTTCTGGACAGAGTCCCAGAGCTTCGTAGGTAATTAACTCATTAACTGAGAAACAGTCATGAAGTTCAATCACATCAACATCTGTAGGTTTTAGGCCTGCTTTTTCAAAACATTTTTCTGCAGCTCTTTTAGTCATATCATAGCCAACCTGCAACAAGAAGAAATTTTACATTAAAATATCATTAAAGAAACATAGCTAGCAATTTCACTTCTACACTTAATTTTAAACATGCTTCTATATATCCTGTAAGTGAAAGCAACCTGTATGAGGTAGCATTCTAATTTATTTTAATGCATCACATATCACAGTTTAATATTCATACAGTATGAATTGTATAAAAAGAAACAATACATTTCAAGTCTCATTTCTGGCATGTGGAAACTTTTCTGGGGAAAATCCTCTATTTTCTCAACCTTGCTCACAAGCCAAACTGCTCCTTTGCATGACTCAGACCAACAGCCTTGAAACAAATTCTCAAACTGTCTTGCTGCCCTTTTCTATCAGCCTTCTGACTAGAATTGTATTTGAAACCCAAACAGAACATGACTGCAGTATAAACTATTGGGTATTCTAATGGTTTGACTTACATCCAATTATTTTAGTCAATTTGCAGTGGGATCCAAATTGAGCAGTTCAAATCTTTCCCTGCATTCTACTTAAGCAAGTAATCATGACTATACTGAAGTTATTTCAGCTTCAGTATTACACAGAAATAAGTAAAATTGTTTTAAGTTTCATTACTCTTATAAGCAGAAAAGTGAAAGACATGTTTTTCTTGCTGTTCAAATTGTTTAAAAAGTAGCCTTCAAATTATTTGTTAAAAACTAGGTTTTTGACAGCCTGTTTATAAATATCTTACTGTTATTCCACAACATATTCTTTGCTTACTCCACCTGCCTAAATGAAATTACTTTTACATTCACCACAAAGCATAATTTGTTTGCTTACTGTCATGGAAATGTCTACAGTATCATTACGACTCACAGGTATTAAACAAAACCCTTGAGGAGTATCAGGGAATACAGAACTGTAAACCTACCGCCTTCATACAACTGTTTCCTTCAAATGAGCTTGGATAATCAGTAGCCATCACCTGGGCTAGAATTTCCACAGCTTTTGGCTGCAATTTATGCCTTTTCACAAATTCCTCACTAGCCAAAACTGCAGCTGCAGCACCATTTGATGTCGGACTGATTGAGAGAAAAATAATTATGTCATCATTCTAAATTAGTAATGTCAATCTTCCATAGAATTATCTTTTAATACAAACAAAAAAAACACAAAAATGACACACAAACACTTTCTTTGGCTGATGCCACTGAAACTATAAATTCCATCACTGTTTGCTGAACGCTGTCAGTAATATTTATAACAGACATTTGAAAAGCATGACACCAAAACAGAAATCTATCATTAAGGTTTTTCAATTTAGAAAAAAATCAAAGCTTCTACTTGGCTATAAAGATTGTTAACAACAAGCCTTTCAGGAGTGTACAGGAAAGGCTGAAAAGAAGAATTAACTCTTAACAGCAGTAGATGCACACTGGTGAAAGATACAGAATGACATGAGAGCCCCAAAGTACAAAATATATCTCAGCTTACTGTATTATACTGTGAACAAGTATCTAGATAGTGTTTGGTCAAGGCAGAGATTCTACATTTGTTTTATTTATAAGTTTTACTTAAAATAATCCACAAATTTTAATTTACACACAAACAGACTTTTATTTACATAATGTCCTACCATATTTGTCTTAAAATCAAGTTTTATTTCACAGTGCTAAGTCCCCTCCTTACCAACACTGTAAGATAGTCAAGAACTCAAAAACTCTGCGAGAATGCAGAACTTCATCTAATGTGTACTTCTTTTGGAACTGGGAATACCTAAGAAAAACATACAGATGCCATCTTAGTGTTAGCACAGCCCTTAGCAGAAGACATACTAATATCACACTACTATGCAGCTATAGAGCTGTTTTTACAAAGTATAAGGCATTGGATATAGAATTTATGCTGGTTCTAATTTTCATTCCATAATAAAGAAGATACTCTGCAAAGTACTTCTAAAAATAATACTCAGTTTTGCATGAATTTTTTAACAGCAGCATATGTTCAATATCAAGGTAGAGTACATTACTCACGGGTTCTTAGTTGAATGGTTATGATTCTTCCATGCAATTTTTGCAAAGTATTCTGGATTTGTCCCTGGCAGGGGAAAAAGAAAGCTGTGTTGAACTACTCTGTTTAACCAAACAGTGCTAATATGGCATTTTAAATACTGTGTCATAAGAATTTGACCTTTACAAGCACCTTTACAAAGAGGCTCATTCTTATCAAGGTTTTCCACAGAACTCAACTTAGGTCTAAAAATTAGATAAAGCCTACTATACATGGTTGAGTTTTAGCTAAGGGAACATCTTACTTGGATTTTAACACTTACTAACATAAAAATACAGAAACTAAGTGCATTTTATCTGAGGTATTATTATCTTACAGAAACCTGAATGCTCATTTTCCTATGAGTGCAAACCAGCTGCACTGAAATCTAAGTTTAAATTTTTCCATATAATAGTCTAAAACTAAGTGCAAATAAAAGATGCTCAACAGGCTAGCCTGTTATCTTGGAGTCAATTCCCTTGCCTGGCGATGAGGTAAGAAATGGCAGTGGCAGCAGCCTAGTACTATATATTGAATCAAATACCTGAAAGCTTTTGTCACACAATTCAGTCCCAAGCCTATCTACCTATCCTAAGAAACAAGGAAAAAATGCAGGAAGTTATGCAGCCTTATCACCCAGACCTTACAGAAGCACAAACCATACCATTAGCATGATTACCAGATGCTCTGTATCACAGCATTAATTTTGGCTCCTGATGGTTTTGTTTGCCTATGCATCTCCAACTTTTCTGTAGATAACTCTTTATCCAAATGTATTCCCATATGTGGTAGCTATAGATGTTGCAGTTGTAGTACTTGGGTAAAAGAAAGGACACCGAATGCTATAGTTTTTTAAAAACTAAATCCTAATATATATTTTTTTAAATCATCTCATTAAGAGGACAATGCAAAAATGTATTTTAGCATACCATGTTTCTCCATATATTCTCTGCCAGCATTTCCAAAGAACTGAGGTGCTATTGGAGCACTTGCTAAACCGTATTTATTTATCATAACTTCTATATGTTTATCAACTGGATTAGTTCTGTCTGAAAACTAGAAAGAAGAAAAATAGTTATAAAACAAGTTATAATTTCCTTTCCCTTCCAACACCTCCACAAAAGTGCTATGGATTTCAAACAAAACAGAGTTTTTTTCTGATATTCTAACAATTCTACTGGACAGCATGTTGCACTTCATTGACAGGTTTTGAAGCATTCATAATTTCCCAACTATAAGAAAGAGTAAATAAACATAAAATCCCTAACATTATAATTACTGCACTGATTCATGGCAAGGACCACTCCTATGTGATTTCTATCACGGTCACTATTCTCAGCAGAGGACTTGAGGTATTTTTCACCTTAGCACGAAATCCTCTAGTTAATAGTTCTAAGTTATAAAATTAATACTGTATTAGTATATTCAATAAAGCTTAAGTAAATCTCATAAAGCATGTTAAAGATAACTCTTACTCATTTCAATCAGTTGTTAAATTTAACATTTCTCACCCAAACCTCCATACACATTATCAGATTTGGCAGTTCTGTAGCTAAATGACATATGGGCTCTAATATTGCTTGCCATAAGGCAAAATACAAACAAACCCCCCCACACTTCTTCCATAAAAACAAAGAGACAATAAAGAAAGGTTTGCAGAAGCTGATAGTTTTTGTGAAAGTGTGTTAACTGGTCAACTGAGTAAGCATCAAACCAAAAGTCAGAAGACCCAGATTCTTTCTTTGATTTGCTGTGTTATTTTGAGAAAGAGACTTCAGTTGCTTCATGTTTCAGTTATTGGTACGTTCATTAATCCCTATTAACCCTGACTTTAACATATTCTTGGTAAAATACTGTAAGCATGACATACTACATAAAATTATTTCTAAAACATTCCATACAAAATTTGTATATCATAGCTTCATTCAGAATCACAAAAGTCGTTAAAAGTTTCTGTGGATCAAAATAATGGTTTATTTTGTAATCATCTACAGCAACATCTCAAAGCAACTAGTATTTATGAGAATTCGCCTCAGAGAGGCAAAAGGAGGTGTATGTCATTTATGAATACAATGAAACGTATAAACTGTTTCAGACACTTACAGCTGAACCAAGGGAACCTTTTGCCATCCTCTCAAAGCCAAGTGCCAGAACACAATCTGCCAAACCTTAAAATAAAATTTGTGGCTATTTAAAACACAACGTAATTATAAATGACATTATGTACTAACAACTGTTCAATTACAAGAAATATATATAAACACCTACCAGCTGCTTTCCCTTTCTTCATTTTTGAAAGGCAGTCAAATTGGGGTGGGAATGGTATCGATATAAACATATTGATACTGAAGAATGAGAGATCTCTACAGGTTTTGGGTTTATTTTTAAACTGTTTGATAGCAGTCATCTTAGAGACTATGCACTTATGATCGTACTAGAATAATACAGCATGTTACTATAGTTTTCATTACAGAAACATCAGCATTTAAGTGCATGAAGGTATCAAAGTCCACAAAGGAACTGTAGAAACAGAATGAAACACTCATCTGTCAGTTCAAAGCATAGTCTGTCACAAGGTGTTGCTCTCTTCTCCTCCCTTCCAAAAAGGTATTAGTCAAACACTTGTGTTAACTTCAAGTTAAAAAAAAAAAAAAAAAGCTTTTTAGTAGATTCTTCTCTCCTTTTCATCCTACAGTGTCTAGTGTCTTGCAGTACTATAATGTTACTTGTTCTGCACTGCTCCAAACAATTAATTCTTGCAGAAAAAACTTAACTAGCTTACTACTTACTAGGTTCATATAGCTTATGACACAGGAAAGGACATTTATATCCATATACACCATCTTACTGCATCACAGACATAGTCTCTTAGGTGCACACATAATGCTCTAGTTCGTAGTGATAGTCTTACTCTTTTAAGTGCTTGGTCTTATGTTTGTATATACAACTGATCAACATTTTCAGCTGAGTGAGGTAGAAAACAATTTTGCCTATGACGATAGGATAGGACATTTACAACTCAAACTACTCACACATTCAATAGTTCCATTCTTCATTCAGGTTATATTTATAGAAACAGAATATGTATGACCCAGTCCCAGAGCAAAACAACTCACCTCCTTCTATTAGCTGCTTGGCCATGAACAAAGCAGTTGATCCAGTAGCACAGTTGTTGTTAACATTAACGATAGGAATGCCAGTTAAACCCAAACCATGATAGACAGCCCTTTGTCCACAGGCTGAGTCACCTTTATACAGAGACACAACATTACATTAAGGTACACACTGAAACTTTACTAGCAAAAGGAAATCCCACCATGACTGTGCAATGCTACCATTTAAAATTGTAAAGAACTTCTGAAATGTCACCTTGAGTATGTCTCAAATATCCACAGTATAAGAACCTTAGAAACAAGATGAGAATCATCAGATTTTAAGAAAAATTTGTCCTGCTTCTGTGACAACAGGCCATGAATCAACAGAAGGTAACTGAACTGAACAGAAACATCTTAGAGGTGCAGCTTGGAAGCCACTACAGGTATCACAACTATACTAAACAGGCTGGAACTCCAGTGTGAACTTGAGTTGAAGGGACTGTGATCTGTGAATGAATCCATGCAGCAACAAGACACCCTGAAGTGGTAAGTCCACACCAGAGCAGGTGTATCCCAAAGCATCTGTGGCTGTGGTTATGTCTGTGCTGCAGCAAGTATACCTCTAAAAGTAGTGTGGCCCATGGAGAAAGCCATGCTGGAACGTGCTCCTCAGGGCAACTGTGGCTGTGGGTACGTCTGTGCTACAGCAGGTACACCCCTGAAACGACTGTGGCCTATAGATAAAGCTCCACTTAGAGCAGGTACACCCCTAAGGGACCTCAGCTTGTGGTTAAGTCCAAGCTGGAGCAGGGGCAAAAAGAGGAGTTCACTGCAATGTTAAACCCAATGGTCTGGTCCAAAGGGATCAGGGGTGGAGACTGTTGTAGCCCAGGATTTGAGCTGCACGTTGTGGGAATTACTATAGCAGGAACCCCTTGCTAGCTATGCTAGGAGCAGGGGGAGGAGTTCATTGCAGTATTAAACCCTATAACCTGGCCCAAAAGGACATGATGTCGAGATTGTAATGGAAATACCTTCAAATTGTTATTACCTGGGATTTGAGTTGCATGTTATGGGAATTACTGTAGCAGGAACCACCTGAAGCAATGGAGGAGAAGCCTTACAAAAAGCAGTGCTAATGCAACAGTAACCTGACCTGAAGGTGGCTTTGATGCCCAGAAACTCTACGCAACATACCACCTCTCCTGTCCTGAGTGACCACTGTAACAGATGGAGCCCAAAATCATGGACTAAATGAACTCAATGGACATTTTGTGAACATTTTACAGAGGTGGTCCACAGACTAAGGGAATAATATCTGTGTATTATAGCAAAGGATAGGAAAGGGGGTAGGGGTTAATGAGGATGTATTGGATAGCATGGGACCTGCACATGACATAAATGGTATAGAATAATGGGTGGAAAATGTGCAGGTTTTAGCTAGGATAGTGTTAATTTTCTTCATAGCAGCTAGTATGAGGCTGTGTTTTAGATCTGTGCTGAAAACAGTGTTGATAATTCAGGGATGTTTTAGTTATTGCTGAGCAGTGCTTACAGAGTCAAGGCCTCTTCTGCTTCTCACCCCACCCCACCAGTGAGTGGCTGGGGGTGCACAAGAAACTGGGAGGGGACACAGCCAGGACAGCTGACCCCATCTGCCCAAAGGGACATCCCAGCCCATATTGTGTGCTGCTCAGCATATAAAGTGGGGGGAAGAAGGAGGGGGACATTCAGAGTGATGGTGTTTGTCTTCCCAAGTCACCATTAGATGTGACGGAGCCCGGTTGTACTGGGGATGGCTGAGCCCCTGTCTGCTGATGGGAAGTGGAGAATTAATTCCTGGTTTTGCTTTGCTTGTGCACACAGCTTTTGCTTTACCTATTCAACTGTGTTTATCTCAACTCACGTGTTTTCTCAGTTCTACTCTTCCAATTCTCTCCCCCATCCCACTAGGGGTGAGTGAGCAGCTACATGGAGCTTAGCGTACACACAGCACCACACAAAGAATAAAAGAATTTTCAAGTCTATTGCAATAAACTTATTTTGCACCACTTGAATAAGTATACCGTCTGATCTTGCTGAAAGAGCTACTTGTATGAAACATCTGCAAGGCACAATTTTATGGAAGTGTTTCCATACCTGTGACTAGAACTGTAAACTCCACAAGTAAGCAGACACAGATCTGTGATCACTAAATATAGTAATTTTTAAGAAGTTTGAGACAGTTCTACAAACTGACACGATTAAATATTTTAACCTGAAATTGATGAGATCCCCAATATTTTATCCACATAAATGTGGATAAACTTTATCCACACAGATGTGTGCAAATGTCACATCGCAATCAAATAACATTACTTACCATAAACATAACCCACACATGCCTGCTCCACCATCGAATATGGAATCCCAGCATCAGCTAAAGCCATTTGGCCTAAAAAAAAGTTCAAAAGTTGGAAAAAGTTTGAAAAATAAAAAAGGCAGTGCTCACAACCACAACAAGCAAATCTTAGAGTAGTATGTACGAGTCATGCATTCACAAACAAGAGCGGTGTAAAAATTCCTTATTATATGATGCAAACAGTTAATATAATCTTGCATCGTAATTCTCATAAGAACAATTCTGCAGTATTTTGAGTTCTGAACAAGCTCACTTATCAGAAAATTTCATGCAATCAATTCTGTGTTCATGCACAAAGGTTGTTTGTAGCAATGAAAGTATGTTTGAATAATTTAGGTAGGTATGAAATTATTTAAGTGTCCAGTTCAGTTTTAAGCTATCCTGACTTCAGTAGTGGAAGGCAGCCAGTTGAACAGGTCAGTTATGGATTTTGTGAAACTGTTCTTTTTTAACCAGTTTTAGATTTGCTTTTTGTATGTATCTATTTACTGAACAGTAGCTGTTCCTTCATACATACAATAACAAGATTAACTGTAAGATTTAAAGTAAGTGTCAGCAATCAATCCAAATGCTTGATTATTACATTACCTGCCTCCTTAGCCATGTCAGGATAATCTCTGCTATTCTCATGGGGCTTTGTGAACTGACAAGGAAAAAAGGAAGGAAAAAAAAAAAAAGATCAAACCACAGTGAGATTTAATAAATATTTTGCTCAAATGGGTATATTTAAAAGCTTTATATTTAACTTAGAAACAGATCTGTGAACAATCAGTTTTAAATAATGCAAACAATTTTACCCAAAAGTGCATGCATTAAATCTGCACAATTCCTAAGTGCTACTGCCAAACCTTATGACAGCTAAAATCAGGAAATAGTGCAATTTTATGGAAGCTGAGGATATTTTTGCTCAGTCCTAAAGAAGATCCATTACTTGTATGGAGGTAGACAATAACCCTGTTCAAAGCCTGTGGGTGAGACAGAGAATTACTGTCATCTTCACCAGTTCATTATAATACATGATATAATCTTCACTAAGGCTTTGACAAATATTTCCCTTCCAATTGATTTTGTTATACTCCTATTTGTAACAAGAAAGTGTTTATTCTTTGCACAGAACTTAATTCTACATAAGCCTCCCTTTCCCAAGTCTTATTCCACTTTGTTACAAACCATACTGTACCTTACCCCTTACCATTGGAGTAGAGGTGGTATTTCTATTTTCTTTGTAGTATGACTCATTAGAGTCTACCAAAAAATACATGTTTTGCATTTTTACATTGTCACTGCTAAAAAAAAAAAATCCTCATACTAACTACTTCTAGTTCTACAAATTATTTGACCTTCACTGTTAGTATATAAAAGTTAATTTGCTATCTCCTTATGCTTACCTCCCCAACTCCAGTCTTTCGCAACACTTAGCTGTACTTTCTGTAGTGTCTCCTTTCCTTAATTTAGGCAGAGAACCTTCATACTGAAGGTCATAAGAAAAATCAGTCAGTGAATTGATCATTGCAAAAGTCTGTAAGAGCGACTGATGTTACTTGGACTAACAAAGAGGGAAAAAGAGTATTGACAATTTTTCAAATCATGCTAGTAACTGAGATGATCCACTTCTGAAAATGAAAGGCATGGTCTGCTGAACCGACAATTACACACAGAGGAAACACAGTTTGTTGTTTTGAAAAGATATACCAATTTTTAGCAGATTTTAAAATTAAAAACAAAACAAAAAAAAAACCCACAGAGTATACAATCCTAAAAGAATCCATAATAAAATGCTTAAGATGCAATATGGTGTCTGACAAGTTCTAGCTGTCTCTTCCATGCTACTGCGCCTTCCCTGAGCACATCACAAATGAGTTTAAGGTGAGGTCCAGTAACTTCCAAAAGTAGAGGCTGTGATCCAGTCCAGTAAACACAATTAATAGAATTAAGTCCTTTACCATTTATTTCCTCCGCTATCACAACACATGCTGGAGAAATACCCATGCAGAAACAAAAAATAAGCTACTTACAAAGTGGCGGTGAGGTGGGTGGGAAGGGGTTTGATTTTTCTGGCAAATACCAGTTGTCTTAAGTTTCACCCACCGAGATAAAAAAAAACAAAAAAAAACCAAAAAAAAACCCCAAAAACTTTCTTAGCTTTTGCAATTCTTTCAAAAATGCGCCATGTTGTGCGAACTCTGTGTTAGCAAACGAATGAGCAGGTACAGAAAGGCCTGAGGAGAGCATCGCGACGGCAGCGGCCCGGCTGCTGCCAGTCCTGCCGCAGCCCGGCGGGAGACGAGCCCTTGACCCCAGGCTGCAGCAACACGGGGACACACTCCGGCCGCTGCAAGTCTGTTCAAATCAACTTTCCCAGCGGAGTTTCAACATGTTTAATTTGGCCGGCGGACCCGTCCTCCCCGGCACACCAACCGCAGGTGAACTGCGCGGGGCCGCGACGCCCCAGGCCGGCACCGCACGCAAACGCGCTGCTGACGCAGCACCTCGGCATTTTGTGAGGGACTTTATCCCTACAACGGCACCTGACCCCCCACCCCCTCACCCCGCGCGCCCCCTCAGCCGCCGACAGTGGCGCTGACAGGGGACGCCCGAAGGCCGGACTCCTCCGGAGCGCCGCCGGGACGCAGACCCGCTGGGGCCGAGACCCCCACCCCCTCAGCCAGGCGCCGAGCTTCGCAGGAAGAACGGCGCGGACGGACGGACGGACGGACGCCCCCCTCCACCCTCCGTTACCTTGGTCATGCCGACGCCCACCACGAACACCCGATGCGGCATGATGGCGGCAACCGCTCCGCGAGCGCGGCGCGCGCACATGCCCCCACCTCCCGCTGTCGCCGCCGCCGAGACCCCTTCCCGCGGGCAGCGGCGCGCGACGGCGGAGCAAAGGGGCGGGGCGATCGCGCGGGGAGCGGGGCACCACTAACGCCTTCCCATTCCTTCCCCACCCCTCCGTCCGCCTGCCTTTCTTAAAGGGGCAGCGTCCCGTCCGTTCCCCACCCTACCCCCCCGCCTTGCCGCTCTGCCCGGAGACGGAGGAGCCTGGGAAGTGGCGCCATGATGCGAGTGGGGCGGGCGGGACGGGAGCTGCTGCGCTGGGGTGTCGGCGGGGTCCCCCCGGCCGCCCCGCGGCGGGGCGCGGAAGTGCTGGTGGGCGCGGCCGGCGGGGGGAGCAGCGGTGAGTGCGGCGGGCGCGGCGGGGGGGGCCATGGGGGTCAGGCCCCGCCGCTCCTTCAACGCCCGTTCCGAGCGGCCCGCGGGGCTGATCGGGTGTCGGGAGCCGGTTTGCTGGTGCTGCCGGGCATGTCAGTCTGATCGAGTTTTACCAGTTCGGGGGCAAAACACACCGGCTCCCGACCTGGCGGGGTTGGGGCCGTGTGTACTCCAGCCCCGCCCCGGGCCCCGCTGTCCCTCGGACGGGCGGGAACACTCGAGCTGTCCCCACAGCCCTGCCCGGGCACCGCGCGTTTTAAGCTATACCTTGATACTTTTCTCGAGAACACAGCTGCTGAATAAACAGCTAGATGCATTTTTTTAAAAAAAAAAAAAAAAAAAAAAAACAAAACCAAAAAAACAACACGTTTTCTATGCAGGAGATGTCAATACCAGAAGTTTTGGTTTGCATACCTTAGATTTTTCTGGTATCAGTAATGTACGATGCTAAAGATAGGACAAGGGCATGTCTGTGCATATTTATGCACGAGAGTCACTAAGCAATTCGAGTTTTGGTTCAGATGGCCAAAGGAGTTACTTTCTGATAACTACTGCAAGAGCTCATAAGCAGTTCTTCGTAGTTTTGCTAGTAACACATACACAAAGGTAGTTACCAGAATTCTGAAGTTCCATTGTAACAGTGGGTGCCCGCAGTTACCTGTGTCTTTGTTCCTGTATGACATGGCTTATTTACTAACTAGCCACTGGCATAAGCAGAGGAATAAAGATGGAGATCTTCTAGTAAGACAGAAGGACTGAGCATGACAGACCCATCTGCGCACCTACAGCAGCAGCAACAGCATCTTACAGTGTTAAGGCCTGGGAAGTGATCAGAAGCCTAGCCAGGGAAACAGGAGAGACGTTTTTTCTTCTCCAAAGCATACAGAAACCATTGGATAATCATTTACAAAATAAAAGTGCAACAGAGAAGTAGGTAGTTGTGATCTTACTTTTGCGCTTGGACTCCGGAACTTGGAGTGAAGTCTTTTCCACTGATGGGCTTAACTTTAAATTAATAGAGCTGCAGTTTCAAACCAGTTCTGGGACATGAACTGAGAGTGACCAGTTTGTGCTATTCTCATGCAAACAGCAATCCCAAGAGGATGGCTTTCTTCATTAAGGAATGTACTTGAAAACAGTAAGAGTGTACAATAAAAACTGAATTAAGTAATATTTGAAACAGAAACCTAAGATGCATCATTTAGGTTTGGGGTTTTTTTTCTATTCCTGCAGTGATTCGAAGACATATTCTTAGATGTCATGGTCATTTTTTAAAAGTCAGCCTATTTATATTATTTGCAGTGCTACTGAATTTTACAGTTGTCCTGCATAAGTGGGTTTCATAGACATGGTCTACCACCTCCACTTTTAAAATAACTGATTGTTTTAGAATATACTTTATATGCATTTTCAGGAAAGAGAAGATGCAACATATGCAGATATTGTTCCCAGTTGAATTACTGTGTCAGAGAATTAAATGAAGTATAACTGAAATTGTCTCCTATTACTAAGGTATTGCTGAAATCCTAATGAACCGACCCCACGCAAGAAATTCATTGGGAAAAGTATTTGTAAATGAAGTGAGTATGGGCCTGGCCTGTAAACGTGTTTGGAATCATGATCAGTAACTAAATGCAATAAAATTGTTGTGGGAAATCTGAAACAAAAACTTAATCTCTTGCTGAAGGTTAGAGGGAGACAGACTGCATTGGGGCAAGGCAGGTTAGACTGAAGACATGGTGATATGTCTATACTGCAGTTACTTCGGATGTGGACTGGACAGAGATATTGGAGTTATTTAAGTTACCTAACTTGGATACAAGTTAATGTCTTCACTTGTGTAATTAACACAAAAACATGCTCATTGTCAGACCTTAGCAGGTGATCTGCTCAAGGCTGATAGATTCTAGAGAAAGTCTGGCTCATGCCTGGGCAGGAAGGGGAGTTTAAGGTACAGCAAAGGTTCATCTCTGAATGGAAGAAAAAAAGAGATGGGGAAACTTGTCATTCTGAGGCTGTCATGGAAGGATCCTGCTGGCTCCACATACATGATTTCCAGGAAATTCCTGGCACCTGATGGGAAAATAAAAAAATAAACTTCTATCTTAGATTAGCAACTTGCTATGATTTAGGTATATACATCCATATGCTAAAAGTTTTTTTTCTCTTGTTTGTACTCCTTCCCTCATAGCTCTTCAGCGCTCTGGAGCAGCTCCGCTTTGATGAGAAGGTTCGCGTGGTGGTGTTCAAGAGTGAGGTGAAAGGTGTATTTTGTGCTGGTAAGTAACAAGGCTCTGCAAATTATTGTTTAAAAATTTGATGGCTCTTAGGGCTGTGCACTGATCAGGTCGTGCAGAAAAGCAGTTGGAAATGCATGCTAAAAGGGGCTGGCTTTTGTGTAGCAAATAACAAACACATTGGTTTTTCTTTCATCTGTCTGCCTCTTGGCTTCAGTAATGAAGGTGTGTGATGGAGTGAGCCGCATAGGCTGTGTGGTGCTACTGTTTGTTTTCCATTTATAACCATCTTCAAGCACAGGTGCCTCTGGTGTTAGAGTCCTTGGTTCCCAGTTTTGCAGATTATCGTCCTTACAGTGTTTGGTGCTCCTCTGTGAAATTTGTGTGAAGGGCACAGAGGAGCACTCTAGCCACTGCTCCAGCCCAAATGTTCACACTCCAACTTCCACTGACCTTACTTAACCAGAACACCGTATTTCCAGACTTCTGAAATGGTCTGTCTTCTGAGAGGGACAGGAGGGAACACAGTTCAGGTGTCTTTTCCCTGTTCCTGGATTCTAAGCTTTTTCTCCTCTATTTAGGTGCAGACTTAAAGGAACGTGCAAAGATGGATGATGCAGAAGTTGGACACTTTGTTAAAAAGCTGAGAAATCTCATGGATGAAATAGGTAAATGATTATTGTCTGGGAAATTCATACTAGGCTGCCTGTACTGAGACATTTGGAAATGCTGCAGGAGGGGAAGGATGCTAGCCCCAGCAGGTTATCCATTTACAGGTAGCTTCCCAATTGGCTTCAGCTTATGCCTGAAACAAAGGTCTGATTAGAATTAAATACCAACTGCCCTGCTGCCACTCCAAGGACAAGATGCATTTCAATACTGCCTTATCCATGACAAAGAGCAGCACCCACACATGCATATAATAAGTAACAAAGCATTCTATATACAGTTCTGTGTAATCCTTGGGGAGACAGTGCTAGACAAAATGAGCTATGTTGGTCATCCCACTTTCAACACATGCTCAGAAGCGCTCGTGATATGGCAATGACCTAAGAACATGGATTTAGATCCCTGAACGGATCTCCTAAGTGAATTTGTTGGATATCAGAGGGTTTGTACCTACAACTCCCCCCTGCCCCCCCCCCCTTTTTTTTTTCCAAAAGAAATATGGACTTCTGAAATTAATTTTCTTCCCCTATTTATGGGTTATTCTGCTCTCAATAGACAGGAATACCAAAGTGAAATATTGTTGGAGAATGGCTCAGACACAAGGGTCCTGAGCCCACCGAGCAGTTGTATGATCAGAGCCTGTTCTAAGGGCTGATGCTGCCTCGCTGATGCTGGGCCTCACAAGGGTTTGCCTGCAGCTGCTCGCAGCTGCTGATACATGAGGAATGTCAAGGACGCTTCGGCCTTGTGTACTGTGGTGTGTCGAAAACAGGAATTAGAAATAGTGGCATGAGAAACTTAGTGTTATGAGAAGCTTGTGCTGTTAGCTAACTGCAAGTAGGTGGACCGTGCGAATACGACCTTTAGAGCTTAAGCCAATCAGCTAGTGACTAGTAGGCATAATAATTATCATTGTCTGTATAAGCATATGTACCCTGGACCAATAAAGACACACGTAGATTGATGCTCTATCACCCACATTGAACCCATCTCGGCGTGTTGTTCTTCCACGGCTCCGCAAAATATGACCAAAATGCCAAGCAGAATTGCAGTAATTAAAAAAAACCCTGTTTTCTATTGCAGTACTTTGTATTTGCATGCTTCTTTGTATGTAAGAGGAATGTTTTGCATTCTTCTTACAAAGAAGGGCGAAGTGCAAAAAGACAGTTTCAACTGTTCAGAGACAGTCAGAAAGTTTTTAGCAGCATAAAATAAATTATTGAGCAGTTTTGAATTTGAGAACTACTAAAAGCTTTAGAATTTAAGCATTTAAATTCCAGAAGTAAGTTGAACAGAACTTCTGGAACAAAACTGTGTAATCTGTGTTGTCTTCTCTAGCTGCCCTGCCTGTACCCACAATTGCTGCAATAGATGGCTACGCGTTGGGTGGTGGACTAGAACTGGCTTTAGCTTGTGACCTTCGAGTAGCAGGTTTGTCTGTGCCTTAATATAGGATTGTTGTTGTAATTAAGGACTATATTTTAAAGAGAATTTACACACGATAGCTGATTGTTAATGGAATCAAGTAGGCTAAGAGAGGAACTTACACAGTTCAGGAAATGAGTAGGCATTTATCCAGAAATTGTGACATTTAGTTACTACTGGGAAAGCAGTTTCCTTGCTTAAAAAGTAAGGACTGTTTTTAGGCAAGATTAGGATTCCTTCAGAAACCATTTATTAGTAGAATTAAATAGTTATTATCGTGTAATATTAGATCAGCACGCTGGCTAGA